TGTATATACGTGACTGCATGAACAATGTGATTCTGCAACCTGTACACTCAGAAAAATGAGAAATTATATCCCATCTGACTCAATGTACAATATGTCAAGATCTTATACTGTCACGTGTAACTAATTAAAACAAATTTAAAAAAGAGTCAATAAATGAAAAAAAAAGAAAAAAAATAATTATGATTTAGATCAATGACAAATTTTCCATTTTTTCATTTGGATTTCATTGCTAAAAATATGGCAGATATCTTACAGAAAAGAACTAGTATAATCAATAGCATATGTAAATCTTAGGACATAGCACTGACCTGCCCACTTTTTTTTTTCCCATTTCACAGCATCCTCTCGAATTTGATCCCAGTCTATCAATGGCTGATCTTCTGTAACACTGTCATTTGTGCTTGCATTTCTTCCAGCAGAAGGTTGGAATGCGACAATGTCTTTTAAAAATATTTTTTACCAAATTAGTTTTGTAATAAATTCTGTCTGCACAAAATCCTCAAAGCTATTTTTCTATACTATATTTAAGAACTGGAAGTGAGTGTGTTAGTGCACACCTGTAATCCCAGGTACTCGGGAGGCTGAGACAGGAGCATCAAGTTCAAGAAAGGCCTGGGTAACTTAGTAAAACTCTGTGTCAAAATAAAATATTTTTAAAAAATGGCTAGGGATGTAGCTCAGTGTTAAACTGCTTGCCTAGCAAGTACCAAACCTTGAATTCTAATCCCCAGTGCCACAAAATAAAACACACAAAAAATTGAAAACAAAAACCAATTCTTGAAATATAAAATTTATTTTTGTAAACTAACATGTGCAAGGAGATCCCCAGCACCACAAAAAGATGGGGTGGGGAGGATCATACTATAGTACCACGATGATCTAGTTGCATGGGTTTTGTTATTTATTAACTTATGAAAAAATTTACTTATAAAAGAAAATATTATGAAGAGTCTAGTGTGTGCTGAAATACTGTCATGTCATTATCTAATTTTTTTAAGAGAGAGAGAGAATTTTTAAAAATTTATTTATTTATTTTTAGTTTTTGGTGGACACAACATCTTTATTTTATTTGTATGTGGTGCTGAGGATCAAATCCAGCGCCCCATGCATGCCAGGTGAGCACACTACCACTTGAGCCACATCCCCAGCCCATTATCTAATCTTTATAATATTCCCGTAAAGTAGATATTATCCCAGCTTGACAGATAAAAATCATGTCACCTTGGAGGTGAAGTTCCTTTCCAAGAAACACTAAGGAGGGGAAATGTGGCCATCAGAACCCAAGTTTCTGTTTTACTTTTGTCTCACATCTATGTATGGTTCAATAATGGCCCTTTCTCTAGATAGATATCAAATTTTTAATATTTCAAATACTAAGCAGTTTTCAAAGTCTTCCTTGATCTAGGGAAGAGACCAGAGTCAGAAGCCCAAGACAAATCCTCACCATTTATGTTGAAGAAGGTGTATTAAAGGGTTATTTTCTATTATGTGTAGCTTAGAAGTAAAACTAAACTACAGTTTCAATTTGAGGAATGAAAGTAATCTGGGCTTCTGTAGAAAAGAAAATTACTAGATTTAAGAAAATCTAAACCTATGTCTCAAGAAAGGACTCAAGTATAATAGATTATAACAAAGAAATTTTTAAATTTTTAAAGGGCTTCAGTGGGTAAAAATTACTTACCAACTTTGCGTTCAGAATTATTATTTTCTTGTTTTTTAACAAAATTTTCTATCACTGCTTTTGCTTTTATTTGCATGGCCTTGTTGCCAAAAATTTTGACTTCTGCCTCAGGATTTCCTTTTATTATCTGAATATAGGAGGAAGAATAGATGAGAATGAAGTCCCCTCACACCTATCCCAAACAACCACTCAATTTCAAATAATATAATAGTACATAGCATTACTATAATTCAATATCTACATTTCTAAAGAGAAGGCTTGTTAATATACTCTGGATTTACCTCCTGATTGGATGAGGAGAAGCAAGATAATTTGTAAATTAAAAAAAACAAAAAACTGACAGCTGGAAAAATTAATTCAAGGGGAGTATGGTAGCATTGCCCTCTAATTCCAGGAACTCAGGAGGCTGAGGAAGGAGGATTTCAAGTTCAAGGCAGTGTTAGAAACTTAGTGAGACCCTATTTCAATATAAAAAATACAGAGGCCTGGGGATATAGCTCAGTGGTAGAAGACCACTGGGTTCCATCCCCAGTATGGCCCAAAACAAAACAATTCAGCAAGTTTTAGGGGGGAAATCAGAACATCAATCTGACAGGTGACAATACTTTGAGTTCTTTCTTTTATAAGACGGGACTGTTTTGTTAGGCTTATCTTATAGAATTATAGGGCTGAGGTGGATTACACTATATTATGTGGATAAAAGTTTACTTTATTATTTTATTGGTACTAGACATTGAACCCAGGGGCACTCTACCACTAAGCTACATCCCTGACTCTTTGTGTTTTTTTTGGTTTTGTTATTTTGAGACAGGGTCTAAGTTGCCCATACTGGCCTCAATCTTGTGAACCTCCTGCCTCATCCTCCTGAGTCCTTGGGATTACAGGCATATGCCACTGGTCCCAGCTTAGAAAAATAAATAAAAATTTATTGAACTTCCAAGTTACTTATGTACATTTTTAATTTCATGCAGTTCTCTACTCAGACATGTATACTGTTATGGAGGTCAAGATTTTCTTTTTCTTACCAGGGATTGACTCCAGTGGCACCTTACCACTGAGCCAAATCCTTAGCCCATTGTTTTTCAGACAGGGTTTCACCAAGTTACTTAGGGCCTCGCTAAGTTGCTGAGGCTAGCCTTGAATTTCCACTCCCACTGCCTCAGCCTCCTGAGCCTCTGGGATTACAAGTATGTGCCACCCTTCCCAGCTGAAGGTAAATTTTCAAAGTCTGATGTTATGACATTTAGGATAGAATTTATAACACTTTTATAGGTGTCCAACAGCAGATAACCTCATTGAAAATTTATCTAGAAAGTACTATACACTAAATGTTGTCTTGGGCTGGTGAATCAGTGCTTATCCTCCGTAGGGTTTACAGAAACAACTTTGTGTAAGTACCGAAATAGGCAGTCATAGATGCTGCAATGGAAAAGGGACACCTTCATAGAATGGGGAACAGGGAGCAGGAAGCCTTAGACATCCCTAATGTGGTAACTAAGCTAACCTGAATGAGTAGGAGTTAGTAAGATACCAATCATAGGAGAGCATCTGGAAATGGATAGTGTTCAAGACAGTAAGGGAAGTTAAACACACCAGGTCATTGGACAATGCTGAGGAGTCTGGACTTAAAGTCTAAGATGCCATGATAGATTTTATGTAGGAAAGGAACATGAACACAATGTTTTAATTGGAGGGGGAAATTATTATTTTTTTAAATTTATTTTTTAGCTATAAGTAGACACAATCTTTAATTTATTTTTATTTGGTGCTGAGGATCGAAACAAGCATCTCACGCATGCTAAGTGAGCACTTTAACTGTGACCAACAACTCTAGCCCAAAATTATTATTACTTTAAAAACTTGATTACAACCAATTTGTTGGCATTAAAATTAGAAGCATTTTAAATTTGAATAATGGCTTATATAGCAAAATTAAGAAATTGAGTTTGGCAAAAATGGGAATAGGAGCTGGGATTGTGGCTTAGTGGTATAGCATTTGCCTAGCATGTGTGACGCACTAGGTTGGATTCTTAGCACCACATAAAAATAAAGGTATCGTGTTCACCTATAACTTAAATATATATTAAAAATATTTTTCCAGTAATTACAGATCAGAAGGCAGAAATAAATTTCAAGAAACAGACAAAACCCATGTTTACAATGATTGTGCCACAGATTTACATTCAGTATTGCATTAGTAAACTGCACATTTAAATCTTCACTTTGAGATTTGAGAGGTGTTTCTTGAAAAAAATCTCAGTACCTTATGCAAATAATCAGTCTTTCATGTGCCCTAGAACAACTTGAAATTTCTCCACTGTATGAATACACAAAATACTTACCACGTTGGTAGGTCAAAATACATACTTTCATAACAAAAATACAATGTACCTTTCAAGTACAACATACATATAATACATATAC